GAGAGAGAGAGAGAGAGAGAGAGAGAGAGAGAGAGAGAGAGAGAGAGGGGATGTAAGTGAGAGACAGACAGGGGGTGAAGTCTGAGAAAGAGGAGCGATCTGGGGTTGGGATGCGCGGTGTGTTGCGTCGGGATTGCGACTGATTATTGGTGTGGATGTGGCAAGTAGCGACTGCAGATGTGTCGGTGCTGACGTGGCGGGTGGTCACTCTCCTAGATCTGTCGCGATTGCGACTGATCCGGTTCTTGATTGAGGCGACGTGGCGGTGTCCCGCTCGCTCCTGTCAACGCCCCTCTTCATGCGCTCTGTGCTTGCCGATCCCGACTGGTAAGGATCGGGACTAGGAGGACGACGATGTGGGTTAGAGGTGCAGTGGTTCAGACCATTGATTCTGACCCTGCTTTCGCTTTGAAATTCTGACCCTGTTTATAGACAAGGTATTTAAAATTCTGATTTTCGTTTTGAAATTCTGTCCTTTTTTGTTCTTCAAATTTCTTTTGAACTGCTTTGGTGAGTGAATGAAATGGAGAGTGATGAGGTGATATCAGCATAGGCCTTACGTCCGCAAACACAATGCACAAACACGCTGTATGCAAAGCATAATGCTAGAGTGTCTAACTCGGAATTAACTCGTCGAATGATGGGAAGGAAGGATCAAGTGGTTCGCTTGTCGGCTTGGCAAGGGATTCACCCGAATAGAACTTTCGGTCATTATCTGTTGTATCTAGACTGGAAGTTGCTCCATATACAGCTCTAATGACCGGGCGTTCTAATCGGGTGAAGACCGTAGGCGATCTGTTAATCTCCCTCTTTCTATGATCTACTGTAGTTCTCTCTCTTTGTATATATGCCCCCTGTTTTGTTGTATTTGGCTGTTCCTTTCCTCTTTTCTTTGCCTCTTTGCCCTATGGCTGTGTGCAAGTGGGTCGATATGACACAGGGTGGTGGGGGCAGCCGCCGCTCAACCTACATCCACGTGGGCGGCCTTGTACTCAAGAGGTTCTGAACAGGGGGAGTTATAAGGAAGAAGATAAAAACTGAATTCAATTTCCCCCCCCCCCCTTTTTTTTTCGCATTTGTGCTCTGATAGGTTCTGAACAGGGGGAGTTGTAAAGAAGATACAAAAACGAATTCATTTTTTCTTGTTTTCTTCATATTTTTCTTCGCTTTTGCGCTCTCATATTCATGTGATGAGGGTTCAGCCTCCTGATGAGTCGGTGAAACTCCGACGAAACAGTTTGTCACA